CTGGCACCAGTTTTCCTCAAACTAGGTACAAGTACTTCAGTTTGGGTACTCAGCCACACAAAGGACTGATACTGTATACTTATAGCTTTGAAAACACATTTCTTTTGTATCATTAATATTCCAGATTCATAGATATTAAGATAATCAACTCTAAACAGAAAATGTTTTTTCAGTAATAAAATTAATAAATACAAGATAAACATATCTGTGTTGTAAACATTCATTGATATCAAATACAGCAGCTTAGAACCAGAAGTTGAGATTGTGGTCCAATCTTTTGCTACGCTTTGTTGGTCTTTTGTTAGTGTTTTGTTCTTCTTAGCTTTTAGCTAATATTCTGCTTCTTTCCAATTTAAGGCTAAATTTCAGCTTTATTCATTCTGCAGTTGTACAGAAAATGTTGTTTTCTATACTTTTGTCTGTGTTTGCTTCATGAATATGGAAAAAAACAAGTCTGTAGCATAAACAGGTTTGCTTAGATAATCCTCATCAGATCAGTTTTTAAGTTAGTTTCTGCTCATTAGAGTTCTTTAATAAAATGTTTTGTGTTGTTTTAATAACATTATGGGACAATAAGTGCTCAAGAATACACATCTAAGTCCATCACAGATCCTTTCACTTCCTCCTCACCATTGCTGCACTGCATGTCCAGATTGGGCATCCCACAGCAGCCCCACTCCTGGCTATTCCCACTGTATCCTTCGAGACCAGGTCCRGGGCAGCAGTCCAAACAGCAGTCCTTCAACTTCCCTCGGCTCTGGATATGCACACCCACCAGCCGGCCCGCAATCACAGCCTTGAAGTCCACCACAACCTCCTTCTCCCGGAGAGGGTACACAAACACGCCTTGATAAAAGTTTACAAAAAAAGGTTAATGTTTTTATCAGACAATTCCTTAAAACATTTGTGCTAAAATACAAACATTTTAAACAGATTTTGTTTTAGTGCTTTGGTTTATGTTGGAATGACTACAAGACCATTGTTTCATCCGCTTTATTAAGTCATTGTCACATATTTAAACATCTCTAAGGAGAGACTGGACTGTTTTGGCTGAATAAAACCGGATGTTTTTGTCTAAAACTCAGAGCACCTGYGGTGTTCCTCAAGGTTGAGTCCTTRGTCCTCTACTGTTTGTAACTGTCAGCATATTTCTCTAATATTTTATAYTTTCTACTTGAGATCTCTTCTTCCTGTTAACATGAGCAGCTACATGTCTCAATAGACCAGTGCTTTGAAAATATATCTACTGAGAGCGCCCTCACCTTCTACAGACTCGGTGTCAGCGTTGGCATACGTAAGGTTTGCGGTGATGCCCAGTGAGCAGCCGTTGGCACATGACTTGATGAAGGAGGACTTTAGTAGCAGTGGCTCCCACGTTGAGCGGTTTCTCAGCCCCACCATTTTATTTTTTGTACCACCAGTCTTCAACTGAGTTTATGAAAACACAGCAACAGAGCTCAGTGAAATGTTAGAAATAGGCAGATATACAAATACAAGAGAGCATTTTAAACTCTAATTTTATATTTACAATGTCCTTTTTAGATTAAACCTGTTTTTTAAATCCCTATAACAAAGTTGGGGTTTTATTGAAAACACTATAAATAGGGCAGGTGTTTATTTATATTTGCACACATCAGCTTTTGGCCATGTAACCAAGATGTCTCCTGTTCAGCACCTCTTAGCAACACCTTGTGATAAATTGTGTATAACAGACCTGGTCAATCATTAACAGCGAAGTTCGGTACTTATTACGCTATGCATCACCCCYTGCATTTGCAATCAGTAGCCATCCAGTATGCAAACCCATGTGTGCCAACAATTACGGTCCTTACCTAACTCCTGTTTGCCTTAAACTTTCCATTTTACTAAAGTTGTGCAGAAAGATTCCTAATGATTATCCACTTTAAGGGCGACAGGTGTTGAGACCATTGTGCAAATGCGCGTGTGTGTGTGTGTGTGTGTGTGTGTGTGTGTGTGTGTCTGTTTGTGTTTGCCATGATCCAGGTAATGGTCTTCTCACATCTACCTTTCTAACAAGATAAACACCCTCCATCTGGCTACTGCCCTCTCAGCACATAATAAGCCATAAATGCCTGGTTTGCTGGAGCAGGACAAACTGTTGCTGTTGGAGTCCACACAGAAGGAAAACTATGATGTTCTGTATCGTCCTTAGAGTAATCTGTTCAGTGTCAGACCTGTCTAAAAAGAATGGTCAGCTTTATCAGTAAAACAAMCCCAGATCTTTAAAAATATTTAGCTTGTGGTGTTTTATGTGAAATCCTAATTATCAAGTAATGTAGAATAAACTAAATTATATGTGCAAACATGTAAACTGTTTAAAGTTCTGTATAAAACTTTGAAGCAGGTGTTTACGTAAAAAACAAGAACAAGCTTTTAAAACTTGCACATTTATTTGCAATGTTGTTGTAAAAAAAACTCATTAGGCATTAAACATACATGCTCTGTGAGGGTTAATTAATAAGTCTGATGTTTGCTTAACAAAGAGTTAAGTGTATAAAACATTGTTGCTGCCTTTTGCCAGTTCCAAACTCTATAAAAAAGCCAAACAATCAGAACCACTTACTGTACTGTTCAGTGTGTCAGATAATCAGCCTCAGTGTGAAGTCTCTGCATCCCTCCAGCGCCACATCTGCTCACAGGTTTGACACATTAAAGGAGTTAAACTGGTATCGGATCACCTCACTCCATAAACCACCTATCCTGAGTTCAAAAAGAAAAAAAAAGTAAATTTACAACAAAAAGCTCTACATCAGACTTTAACAGTTTCTTATTTGTGCACAGCAGCTCACTTTAGACAGAAKCTATAAAAATTTGTGTTCAGTGTTGGGCACTTTATCCTCAAATTAAGATGTCTTTTTAAAAATACAGACCAGTCTTGATGCGGAGCTCCATCTCCAGCTCGCAGCTCTGCACGAACCTACTTCTGCTTGGTTTGCAAAATGTCATCTGCTTACCTGCTCTGTCCTGGAGCAGCRAGCTGATCAGAAACTACGATCCAGAACCTGCTGTTCAGGCACAGGCTAACACAACTGGAAGTGAGGCAGAGCCTGCTTTTCGTCCAGACAATTGGCTGTGATGGTAGCAGCACCATAATTCATGGCTAATGGCTTGGCTAGAGAGAGAAGAGGAGGAGGAGGAGGAGGAGGAGGAGGTGATGTGGTCTGCCTCTCCCCACAGGTCAGTCAGACGGCAGCAGCAGTAGGTGAGACCAAAGTAGCAGCTTTTTGTCCTTCAGTCTCCACTTTCATCAGTCGAAGCTGCATAATGAAACATTAGTTTTAAATATATATTTTCCACAAATTTGACAGCTTATTCTTTCAAACAAAACAGTTTGCTTTGATTGTTAATCATGTTACCCATGTGAATTCATATACTCAGGTTTAATAAACCAATATTAATGACATAGTAAAATATAGAGACTTAAAGATTATGGACATGTTGAAAGGGCGGGACAGTCGGTGTCTGCTGCGTCCACTCGCCTGAGTGGATAATCTGCRGTTCTTTGCTCCAGGCCAAMAGGTTTGGCTGGTTTCAGCAGCTTCGGTAACAGAAGCATTCCTGCACAACAAGAAAAGTTTCACTTAACACAGTTACTGTAAATCTGTGAAGTCGGACAATAAAATAATAAAAAAATTGTCAAAAGTTGTTTTGGTATCATGTTGTTTTTAAAAAATTGGAATCATTTAGGATAATTTAGCGGTACCATGGTGTAGCTGTAGTCTCAGTGAGAAGGTTGCCAGATCAAAGCATGTTTTCTCCATGTGGGTTCTGCGGGTACTCAGGTTTCCTACTACATACCAAAAACATGCACATTGCTAATTGGTAACGCTAAAGAAATGTGTGAGAGTTTGAATGGGCATGGATGAATCTAGCTGTCTATACAGTATTCTGTTTGTTTTTATTAATTGCATTTTCTCTGCTACTGAGGCATTTCTGTGGCATTCAAAGGTCTGCATGCATAGAAATGAAGCTGTAAATGCTCATCATGAATTCATAAAAGCAGAGAATATTCATATATTCATGTGTGCTGTGAATGGGGAAAACTTAAAGCCTTTTAACTGAACGTTTGTTTTCCTGAGGCAGTATGTACCTGCAGGTGAAACAAGGTGGTGTTCGGCACCTGGGCTCAACCTCCTGTGCCTACTGAGCTGATAACAGTGATATATAGTATTAGACAAGTACAGTACTGGCTCAGTTCAGCAGGAACCGGAGTTACGCCCTCTAGAGATGGCGACTCGGCTGCAGTCAACGTGCGTCACCTGTCCAATTAAGATACCACCCTCCGAGCGAAAATTATTTGCATGTGTAGTGTTTTCTGTGTCTGTGAGCAAAAACAGTCAGGATTTAGCRAAGTGAAGTTGTCTTTTTTTAATGCTGCTCTAGAAATCCAATAGACTTTTTCCCACAGAGCCTCATCGAGGCCATTCTCCAACAAGCAGCCAGAACAGAGCGCAATCATGCGTTTATCAGAGCAGAGGAAGCAAATAAACGTAGCCACACGGCCTCTCTGAACCACAGCCTCTGAAGCTTCTGATGGAGGAAATCTGCTCCTGTTGATTTGCTACATCTAAAACATCACAGGAGCAGAGATTTTCCAGCWTTTTTTTCCACCACAGTGTTCAGATCYGCAACTACAAGCACATGTATGTGAAATGCAGAGTAAGTCACTGGGTTTATGACTTGATGTGATCTCATCAGGTTTCTTTTTGCTCATTTTGTTTTGCACTGCAGACCTGCTACTGAACTAACCTTATAACTGTAGTTAAAAAAAATGTGAATTTTCTTTGGTTGTATTTTTTGCAGCACATGAAGACATAATATGTATAAGTCAAAATATGAATGAAAACTAACACGCCTACACAGTGTGGATAGCGTGGTGCAGTGACGTAAGTCCTCCATGCCCTGAATTGAAATACAGCTGGCGTTTTGCTCAAGGACACCATGACATACAGTATATGGGCATGGAGGGAAATCCAACCTGAGACTTTCCAGTCCCAACTCAGCAGCTCAGTGTTGTAAGAAGTGGGATTAAAATAGTAGGCATCAGTTGTGGGCACAGTTCCCCTAAAGCATTAAAGCACTAATAAGGGAACTAATTTCCTGATTAGTGCTTTAGGGCTTTTGCTATTTTTAAAATTCATTAGTGGATTAGCACTTGCTAAATTTATGGGCTAAAAGAGGTCTTTAAATGTTATTGATCAACATTATTATTCACAGTTGAGGGTGAAAGCTGTCTTTTTGTTCATATGCCTGCATCTACAAGGTGATTGTGTCAAATTCAAGGCCCATGGGCCAAATTTGGCCTGTGGATAACTCCCATTTGGCCCACCAAGAGCACTAAGAACATTCTGCACACAGTAAATATTGTCTCATATTGACTCTGAAGAATGTGTCAACTGGATTATATTAGTGCTTTAGAATTAGGGGACCTAAATATTTGAGTTAGTGCTTTAGGGTTAGGGGACCTAAATATTTGAGTTAGTGCTTCAGAATTAGGGGACCTAAATATTTGAGTTAGTGCTTTAGGGTTAATGCAACTAATATTTAGATTAGTGCTGCACACCACTGTTAGGCATAGTAAAAGTGAAAGTGATAGTAGGTGGGAAATACGTAGTTTGTGAAGGACCTGAGGAGACCTCAATCTATTATATTTTAATGGGGAAAAATAATGTAAACAAAGTTAAATATTTTAAGATGAATGAAAGGTACAAAAATTAAGTTCTAGCCGTCGTTTCCTGAGTTCAACATTTTTATACACAAACAAAAATGTAGATGCCAAAAGATGTACAAAAGAAAACAATAGTGTCAATGCAAACAGAAGTTATAAAAAATCAAATTGTTTGTTAGAACTGAAATAAAATATCTTGAGCTCAGCTCTTTCTACCAGAGCTGCCATCTTTGGTTCTAAATCCTGTATTTTTAGCCCAGCGGATGAAAGTGATGTAACAGATCTGATAATGAAGATCCGTGAATGTGTTCCAGGTCTGCAAGGAGATAAAAGAGCCTTTCAGCGCTCACCTCGACTCTTGTTTTCTCCATCTACATTCTCCAGCCATGAGTCATGTACCTGTTTTTGTTCATCATCTGGCCTGTGGTGTCAGTACAACCCAGCTCCACATTAATGCAAACGAACACATCTGCATCCACACACCAGATTCACTAAGGTCCCCACCGCCACACAGACCTGCTCCCACGAACTCCAAACCAGCCACCAAGATCTTCTCTTTCACAACATRAACGCACTGCCAGCATGACCTTCAACATCTTGTAAAAGAAGAAAAAAGATGTAATATTATCCTGAAGCAGAGGCCTGTTTTGCGTGACAACGGATAATCTTCTCTATCTGAGAAAAAAGAAAAGAAAAAAAAACAGCAGCAGCTTTATTTATGTATGTGAGTGCGTTAATGGGTGTTTATGTATTGTTTTAAAACTGGGTTCAGTAAGACAATGAATCTTCTCTAAAGTGTTTGTTTATAGTTATTCCAAAGCCAATCCCAGCATGAGGTCTCAGACTTTAATATCCAACGATAATTCACACGTTTTTAATCCACCAAGCGATTCACAAACCAGTTCACATCCAGTTTATGACATTATTCAAAGTGTTACATGGATAATGTGCTGTTGGCAGAGCTTGTAATATTCTCATTTACAGTAAATCAGTGTTTGTTTTGGGGATTTTAAAATGAATAAGCTCACATGCATAAATGTCAAAATGCTAAAAGGAATAATTACTGTGTTTTCGTTGAATTTTTGCAGCAACTTTCACCTCCTTCTGTCTTAAAGGGGACATGTGCAAAATCCTTTTTTTTAGCTGTTAAGTGAATTTTGTTGTGTACTTTCTGATCTATTACATCAGATTATTTGCAACAAACTACCAAAAAAATGTCTGGACTTACCAACTACAGTTTGGCTGCCTTAATTCTCCTCTGGCTCCAACATGTAAGGCTTCTGTTGTTGACAACTTTTAATTAATTTGTAAATAAAAAAATTCTGTGCTGTTATATAGTAAAAAAAAAACCTTTATCTAACTAGAATGGACCACTCTAGAAGTTGGAGGGGGCGGGGTGTGAAACACCTATAGGTTGGATTTAAAGAGACAGCATCAAAACGAGTTGATCTGAGACACACCTTAGAAAAGAGGCGGGGCTTGTGGAGTTRCATTAAGGAGGGATTCAGGCCGAAGCGTTGCAGTTCCACTGTATATAGACCCCAAATGAATAGTTTGTGTGAAACAAAAGGATGATATGTTGATTTTAAATATCCCTGCCTTTATAGTAACAGTTTGCACATATAATAAAATGATTACTCTTCTCAACTCGGGTTCAGCTTTTAAATCATTTGTAGGATGGTGGGAAAAATAAAACTTATTTTTTTCTGAGCAACCAGAAAAGCCCTGCTGATAATACAAATGATCTAAAGCTGTTAGWCTTTTTCCTAATAATAGTCTTGATTCAACACATTTAACAGAGTTTGTTTAACGACACGTGAGGCCTAAAATGTAGATTTTGAAACCATTTAATGAGTCATCTGAGATACAACACTATGACGGAGTATTAGGGCCACCCAACAACATTTTTTTATTTTCTTAAATTAAGAGAATAAAGTCGCAATATTACTTCATTTAAGTTGTATAAAATAAAGTCATAATATTATGAGAATAAAATAGTAATATTGTGAGAATAAAGTGTTAATATTTTGAGATTAAATTCATAATATTACTAGTTTAAAGTCATAATATTACTAGTTTAAAGTTGTAATATTACGAGTTTAAAGTCCTAATATTATGAGGAAAAAGTCATAATATTGGAGCCTTTACATGAAAAAGCATTCAGTTATCACTGCATTCAACTGAGGAATGTTGAGCAACTTGTCAAGTTGTTCTTTAGCATTGCTATAAATAAATAATCTTTTAGCACATTAGCATCAAATTATCAGTGGCAGGACTTGGAAATTGTGCAAAYGACTATAAACTGAAGCTGTATTGTAATTAATGGATGCATTGACAGATTTAGCTGGCACGTAGCTAATTTGGATGAAAGCTTATTAATCTAAAGATTCGGTTATAGTCGAGCTTTGGGTTGTCGCGGAAGCTCCGCRGAGTGCGCCCACTCCTGAGCCGTGCACTGTGTGAAAACATAGTTGACGTTCATGTAATCGCCGTTTTTCCGTCGCCGACAGATGGCAGTAACCAAAAGTAGCCAAACCAGTGGGAAAGTAGTACGAGGGAGTGTAGAACAGGAAACGCTTGACGTCACACATAACAAAGTAACCACATTTACCTCTTTCGCCATATAATCTAACATAATGTAGCAGAACTAATAATAACTAATATACTATCTGTTTCTCTGTGCTTCACGAACTGAGAGAGCCACACTGGTTTGCTTCCTCCAGGATCACGGCTTTCACAAACCGGTCGCAAATATTTTTCCATGTCTTCCAGCATAAAACTCATCTTTCTTTGCAGCCATTGCAATTTCGTTCCATACGTTTTGTGCCATCTGGTTGTCTTTATGACCTCACATGGAGGGATCATACAGATGCCGGTACATTCGGACCTGTTCAGCGAGAGCACCTTTGTGACGAGTGGCACGCAGCCGTTGCGGAGCTTCAAAATTTCGGAGGTGCACGACCACGCGCCAGGACACAACACGGTGCCAACGCATAGGTGCAGGGAAGCTGCGATTGCGTCACTTTTGACACAAGCCCCCTCACGCCCTGTGCATCGCGTCAACTATAACCTAGGCTTAGTAACGAGTTATCATGGACTACTTTACAAACACAGAGACATGGCTGTACACAGCAGGTGTGGGGAAAATAAGGAGGAAATGAGGAATGGAAAATAACACGTTATGATTGTTACTTTTCTCGTAATATTACAACTTTAATGTCGTAAAATTATGACTTTAATCTCGTAATATACAACAAATGAAATCTTAGAACCCATAGTTAGGCTCTACAACAGGGCCTACAAAATTCATAAAAAAGCTTCCTGGTTGGAC